AATAAGGTATGTGAAATTAGTAAAAGCAGATGGACATCTTCTACTTTCACGATAAATCAATCTGTATCTAATCCTTAAGCATTCTCTGGTTAGCTATTCTTGCTCTGGTTTAACACGGTTTTTGACTGACCAGGGCACATTCCCTTGTTTAGAAGAACTGAGATTGGAACGCAATGCCACTATGAAACAGATATGGCATGGACAACTCCCAGAAGGGTATTTTAAACTGAAAGTTTTGGAGCTAATAAATTTTCCTGCTCTGACTGTTCTTCCATCTTATTTCTTTCGGTCACTGTCCAATCTCGAAAATTTTGTTGTTAGTGATGCTTCCTTTAATGAAATGTTCGTATGTGAAGAACTTGGGGGTGATGAAAAGCTGGAAGGGCTAGTTTCTCAGTTAAGCATATTGAGATTATCCAAACTCCATGAGCTGACAAGTCTTTGGAAGGAAAGTTTCAATCCTGGAGAAATTTTTCTTAAAATGAGAGTTCTAGAAGTGCAGGATTGTGGTAACTTAAGTATTTTAGTGCCACCCTCGGTGTCTTTCAAGAATTTGACAACTCTTGAAGTATCGAGGTGTCAAGGACTCAAACATTTATTCTCACACTCCACAGCTAAAAGCCTAGTGCAGCTTACCAGAATGAGCATAACTGATTGCGAAATGATAATAGAAATTGTAGAATGCTCAGGCGACGAAGTGAAGGTCGCGATCGAGTTCACTCAGCTGAAGTGTTTGGGACTCAGTTGTCTGCCAAACTTGGAGAGCTTTTGCTCAGGAAACTGCACCTTTGCATTCCCTTCGCTGGAAACTGTAACCTTGAGACATTGCCCAAGGATGAAAACTTCTCAGGAAAGGTTTATTGCACCAAAACTAAAACCGGTGTATTCGACAGAAGCTGCCGGTGAAGGACACTGGGAAGGAGACCAGAACACCATCATACAACTTTTGTTCATGGAAACGGTATGCATTAATCCCAAGCTTTTATCCTCAAGATTACTTTTCCGTAGCTTCATTCCATGTTCTGCTGGAAACAAAAAGGTTATTGGAAAACCTTTGGAATATAAATCACACATTCTCTTAATGCAATTATTTCAGTACTATAATGTGTTGCTTTGTATAGGTCCGCTACCGTGAGATCGAGTATGTGGTACTCTCTGATTCCTCCAAGCTGATGGAAATAAGGAACTGGAATCCTCAAGGAGTTTTGGACTTTAGAAACCTCAGGTTTCTGAAAGTTTACAACTGCAGGAACTTGAGGTATCTATTTAACCCTTCCATGGCCATGAACCTTGTGCATCTTGAGAAATTTGAGGTTCATGATTGTGAGATTTTGGAAGAGGTAATAATCACAAAAGGGTTACCAAAAAAAGAAAGGATGAGCAAGAAAATGTTCCCTAAACTGGTCACTTTATTGCTTATTGCTCTCCCCAATCTCACAAGGTTTTGCTCCGGAAATTACCTCGAGTTCCCCTTCTTGAAAGAACTTTGGATTCAGAGTTGCCCCATGTTGAAGACATTCATCTCCAGTTCTGCAACTAGAAACAACTCAAGACAGAATCAAAATACCAGTTTGACAGTTCTATATGATGAGAAGGTTTTTACAACTTTACTATACATTTATCTCCACTTCTGTTAAGTAATTGATGCAAATCTTATAATCATGCAGGTGGCATTTCCCTCCTTGGAGAAATTAGGAATCGTAGACATGGGAAACCTGAGGAAACTTTGTAATGACCAAATTTCCATGAGTTCATTCTCCAAACTGAAAGTCTTGAAGCTCATGGGCTTACCTAAGCAGCCAGATGTTATTCCATCTGATTTCTTTCTCTCCTTGTCCAAGCTTGAAAGGCTTGTTGTTGATGATGCTTCCTTTCCTGAAATATTTCAGTGTGAAGGCATTGAGGGAAAGATGCAGGCATGGGAACTGGCTAGTTTCAGTGATTTACGATTGTCGAAACTTCCTGAGCTAATGCAACTCTGGAAGGGAGAGTTTCGGTCTCAACCTCAAACACTTTTTAGAAACCTGAAAACTCTGAAAGTATTGGAATGCCCCAAATTGAAGCATTTAGTTTCATCCAAAGTGTATTTCCAAAATCTAACTACTCTTGAAATATCAAAATGTCATGGACTTAGAACTCTAATGACACCCTCAACAGCTAAAACCATGGTGCAACTCAAAAGGATGATGATAACAGATTGCAGAAAGCTAGAAGGTATCATAGCAAATGCAGACAACGAAACGTACAGCATCGTTTTCAAGCATCTGGAGTATTTCAGACTTCAAAGCTTACCGGTACTTACAAGTTTTGCTCGGGGGCCTATCACTTCGAGTTCCCATCCTTGGTTGATTTAGTTGCAATCGAGTGCCCAGAGTTCATTCGCTTTTGTGAAGGAGAAGTAAGCACACCATTGCTAAAAAGAGTACATCCAACAGAAGAAGGAGATAGATCTTTTACAGATAAGGACCTTAACACCACCATAGAAGGATTACACAGAGAAAAGGTACGTTCATTTACCTGAGCACGAGTTCTTTCCATAGCAACACACCAGAAATGTTCCAACTCATTGGATTCTTCATAATCCTTAAAACTCATAAGGACATGAGAAGCTTCTGCATGATAGAAGAAATCCAAGAAAAATGGAAGGCCATTAACATATCCCAGATGCAACATTTTAATTTTCTTTTCAAAATTGTATAGCCTATATATGCACTTTTGACCAAACTCTCTTTGTCTCTGCATCTCAGGCTCGAAATGAAGTAAAAGAGTTGGAGTTTCTTCAGTGGACATTGTCAGACTTATGGAGACCTTCAACTGAGTAAAAGGTGATATGTTCATCATCAACAACTTTGGTATGGTATAGAATTTGCAGTTGTTAGTTTGTTAAGGTTCCTGTCCGTTTAGCAAATTAAAAGGTATAAAACTGGCAACATACAGAGATATACGTATGTGTCTGTGTATCAGTTACAAAAAGGATTAATTGAAATATACTAAATCTTTTGCTTGTTTTAGGTGTTTAAAGTTTTTTTTTTTTGGTTAAACAAATGTCTAAAGTTTTCACCTTTACCATTTTAAGGCCAACTTCCTCATGCTCATTTAAAAAAAGTCATCCACACAAAATGTGACACGTGGCGTGTTTAATTGAATATTTTGTTTAAAAAACTTAAAATTATTATTTAAGAAACCCAAATTTCTCTATAATCTAAAAGAAATCCTAAAATATCTAATTCCAAAGTCATTATTATTGGTTGTGGCCACTACCATTGCCAAATACCCACCCACCCGTAGTCAGACTCTCACTGTCAGCCATCACCCGTTATGTCGCCCAATCCCCTAAATACCTAGATTTAGTTTTCGAAAAAACAACGTCGTGTGTCATGTTATATTAACAGCGGAGTGACCAAAACAGGAGCAATATCAAAGTTCAGTGAAAAAATAGAATAATTGAAAGTTGGGTGAGCAAAATAGGAGACAGAGTAAAGTTCAATGAGAAACAATGTAATTTACCCTTTTATTATTTTAATACATACGATGAAGTGAAAGAGCTAGAGAGCTACAAACCACTAAACCAGCACCAGGGATCTCCATAAGAGCTTCGATGCACTCATCAGGCGGTGCATGGAATATCGTCATACCATAAGGAATAACCCACGCTAAATTCGCCAAGGTGTCTGCTACTGTATCACACCCACGTGGAACATGAGAAAAAGATAAACCCCATTCCCGGCTTCAGAGCTCGAAAATATGCGGCAACAGAGGAAATGTAATTCGAACGTTGATTCTTTTACAATTAAGCCTTAAGATAATTGAACTTCGTGTTATGCCAACTCAGGTTTAGTCCTCAAACAGGGACCTATACCATGAACGAGGGTGGACCTATAAACGGAATTTGAAGCACAAAACTATGGAATGGCGCTCGAATCCAAGTCAAGCATCAAGTATTCTATTAAGTCACTTTCTGTCATGACAAACTCAAACAAGTCAAAAGTTATAAGTAAAAACTGGTTACAATGGAATATGTTTGTTGCCTTTGCCCCACAAAAAATCCGACATGTTCTTTGGACAATTTTTACAAGACCGACTGTTCAGTAACGACGACGGTTTTGTCAATGGCTCTCATCGGATAAATCCTGCTTGATTTGTGGCTATGGAGTTGAGGATACTCTCCATGTGATTGCTTGACCTGAATGGTTTGGACCCAATTGGTTCATGACGTGAATGGAAATACTTTTGTAAATGGTGAAAAACGTCATTTGAGAGAGAGAGAATAACAGTAGAAATAGTTCAAACAAAAGTACTCGGTTTTTTGTTGCAGAGGGGAAGAATAAGGGAGGCCATTATCTCAGGAAGATTCCATGGCCTTGTTATCAGTTGTTTGGGACCTGAACCATTCTCCCCCCTTCAATATTTTATTGTTCCTGCAAAGAAAATAAAAGAAAGAGCTAATTGCATCTTATGGTCTCAAACTATGATCCCCATTTTAAATTGGTCCTTAAACTTTTGAATATTCCAATTTCATCCCTAAACTATGACTTTCATTCTAAATTAGTCCTTAAACTTTTGAACATTCCAATTTCATCCCCAAACTGTGTCCCTCATTCTAAATTGATCCCCATACTTTTGAATCTTTTAATTTCATCCCTAAAGTCATCCAAATATGTAATATTCAAGCATAGTTTAAGCTAAATTTTATTTTCTTTTTCAAACATATAATAATATAACTTGGCCTAACAATTTTATTAACAAAGGACGTGATTAGTACAGACGTATAATTTGGGATGAAATCGAAATGTTCAAAAAAAATTGGGGACCAATTTAGAATGAAGACCATAGTTTTGAGGATAGAAATGAAATGTTCAAAAGTTTGAAGACTAATTTAGAATGCTAGTCATGGATTAGGGATGAAATTGGAATGTTTAAAAGTTTAGAGATTAATGAGATATGTAAGAGATTTAAGAATTAAAAGATGGAGAAAAGCAACTAAGAGTAACTGAACTTACCCATGAAGGAGAAAAGTAGAAGTTATTCGTGATTGCTACATTGCTGCTATCCATGCTCCTTTCCACATTTGCTACAAAGTCTTCTGCCATATTTGTAAGGGTCAATTCCTTCAAGGCTTCTAGTTTTTCCAAACCATCATGCTTTTTAAGATTTTTGCAGCCTCTGATCTCCACTTCTCTTAACATTGGCATGGCTCCTTGTTCCACAGTCCAGCAGTTCAATTTATAGAGCATCCACAATTTCAAGACCTTTAGCTGCGGAAATCCGCCGCGATCACAAGTCATCTCTCTCCCCAAGAAGGATTGAGCATAAAGCCTAAGGACCTTCAGTTGTTTCAGCTCCCCAAGCTTTTTCATTGGATCTTTTGACAGATGTGTCATTGACAGTGTTAGAACTTCAAGATTTTCAGGAAAATCAAAGGTATCAACTTGATCTGGAATTTTTCCAAGCAAATACAGCTGCGATAGGCTCATCTGCTTCCATTTCTGCATGTCCTCCACTCTCAGGTCTAAAGGTTTATTGAATTTATCTAATAATCTCAATTTCAAGGACTGAAGTTTGTCCATTCGAGTGATCCAGGAACCTGTGACTTCATTCGTTGCTTCGTTGCAAGTTATTTTCAATTTCCTCAGATCAACCAAACTTGTCATCCAATTTTTTTCAGGACTCCCGCTTTTAATCACCAACCCCCACAGGATCTTCAGATTGTTCAATGAACCACTAGCTGATGGCTTCAGAGTAAGCAAATCAACATCAATATCACTCATGTACAAATGCTGAAGTTTCTTTGCCTCCCAGATGGTACTAGGCAACTTGGTTATGAAAGTGTGCTTTATGTCTAACGTCTCCAGGTGACGCAGGTCACCAACTGATTGTGGGACATCATCCAAAAGTGTTCGCCTCAAGCCCAAATACTTTATGTAAGGCAGATTGCCCAGTGTATCAGAAAGCACTGGTTTGTAAACACCTTCTAGATCAAGCACTACAAGCATTCGAAAGCCTTTTTCAACAACCTTGCTTAGAAGTTCCTTTACTCCATATGTAGGTGCATCTCCTCTTTTTCCGTAGAAAGAAATATAAGAACGCAGTCGTTCAAATCGTTTTTCTATGTGTTCGGGCTTAGAGGGAATACCCGAGTTTTCTGAAAGCCGCCGGATGTTAAACCACGGTGATCCACATATACCTGAAATGTTGGAGAAGTGAAAAACCCCAACTTTCTCTGTATCTAGGAAGAGGATGTCATATATGGTATTTGGCACGCGGCACGACTTGGGGCGTCCATTTAATTTTAGCTTTGTAACCTCAATCATGTTTCTACACTTGAGCTCTTCATAATATTCTTCCACTAGCTTTTCAGGTGTTTTCACTTGATCTATTGTTTGCACAAACCCCTCAGCAAGCCACAAGTGACACAACCTTCTAAGAGGAATCTCATATGACTTGGGAAAAAGACCCAAGTAAAGAAGACAGCACCTCACAGCCGGGTCTAAATCCTGATAGGCTAAAGCCATAATATCTGAGAGAAGCATTTCAGCTGAAACTAACAATTTGTCTGAGGAGTTTGAATCTGTTGGTCAAAGACAGCAGCCAGGGGGGGCTGCTAAGGGAAGAAAAATGGGGGGCTGCTGATTTTTATTTTTATAATAGGTATAATTACAAAATTGAGTCATTGAACTTTAGGGTATTTACAAGATTAGTCCCTAAGTTTCAACTATAAATAGCCTAGCTCATTTAGCTTCAAAATCATCCCAAAAATCATTTCTTTCTCCCAATACTAGAGAGCTTTCTTGTGAGTAGTGAGTGTTTTGCAAACACCTGTAAAATTTCTCTCTTAGTAAAAGATCTGCAGCAGTCCGGAGACGTAAGCAAAATTGGCTGAACTCCGTTATCAATTTTTTCGGGTATTATTTTTCCGCTTTTATTTCGCGTTCTCACTAATCTGGTTATAGGGAAATTACTTGTACTCGGTTTATTTCCTAACAACTGGTAATCAGAGCTTTTGGTTGCGAATTCTGTCAAATTTTTGCGAGGTTACTATTCGGGTTACTATTCACGTGAATAGTGAAATTCGGTCGGCGATACGAGTTTGTCGACGGAGGTGTTCTAATACACGGCGGTTCGCAGAAATTGTCAGAAACGATCCAAACGAAGCCAGATTCGAGTGGGAGCGATGGCTGCAGATGAAGGGAAGGTGAAAATTGAAAAGTTCGATGGTGCGGACTTTGGCTTTTGGAAGATGCAGATCGAAGATTTTCTGTACCAGAAAAATCTATATCAACCCCTCTCAGGAAAGCAACCAGAGGGCATGAAGGATGAAGATTGGGCTCTTCTCGACAGACAAGCCCTCGGAGTTATCCGACTGACGTTATCCCGCAATGTTGCTTTCAACATAGCAAAGGAAAAGACCACGGCGGGTCTTATGGCGGCTCTCTCCAGTATGTATGAGAAGCCATCGGCCTCAAACAAAGTTCATTTGATGAGGCGATTATTCAATTTGCGGATGACGGAAGGGGCATCGGTGGCACAACACCTAAATGAACTCAACACAATCACAACCCAGTTGAGTTCAGTGGAAATTGAATTCGATGATGAAGTTCGAGCTTTAATTCTCTTATCATCTCTACCAGACAGTTGGAATGCTACTGTTACAGCAGTCAGCAGTTCGTCGGGAAACAGCAAATTAAAATTCGACGATGTTCGGGATCTGGTACTGAGCGAAGAAATTCGACGGAGAGAATCGGGTGAAGCATCAACCTCCTCAGCCTTGCACACGGAGTCTAGAGGGAGAACTTCAGAAAGAAATTCAAATCGTGGCAGATCGAAATCCAGAAGGGGAAAATCAAGAACAGGAAATAAAGATTTTACCTGTTATAATTGCGGCAAGAAGGGTCACTTCAAAAGAGATTGCCGAGCACCGAAGAAAAATACCGGCGCACAGGAATCTGCAAACATGACGGAGGAGACAGGTGATGCCATGATTCTAAGCGTCAACAGTCCGATTGAATCATGGATCTTGGATTCAGGGGCATCTTTCCACTCCACCCCATGCCAAGAAATCATGGAGAACTATGTCAGTGGTGATTTTGGGAAGGTTCATCTTGCTGATGATGAAACCTTGAAGATCGTCGGAAAAGGAGATATCCGACTAAAGCTGCCAAACCAGACCACCTGGAAGCTGACAGGAGTGAGACATATTCCTGGCCTCAAAAGAAATCTGATTTCTGTTGGACAGCTTGATGGAGAAGGATACAGTACAACCTTTTCAGGCTGTGAATGGAAGATTACAAAAGGAGCACTCATCATTGCTCGTGGTAAGAAGACTGGTACTCTCTATGTAACCTCAAACTTAGAGAATATCATTGCTGCAGCAGATGCTGATGGAAAATCAAACCTATGGCACCAAAGGCTTGGCCATATGAGCGAGAAAGGAATGAAGATACTTCTGTCAAAAGGGAAGTTGTCGGATCTAAAGAATGTAGATGTCGGACTATGCGAGGATTGCATCTTTGGCAAACAAAAGAAAGTCAGCTTTACAAAGATTGGCAAGACACCCAAGGCAGAAAGGTTAGAATTGGTTCATACTGATGTATGGGGACCATCCCCAGTTTCATCTCTTGCAGGCTCACTATATTATGTCACCTTCATCGATGATTCAACAAGGAAGGTGTGGGTTTATTTTCTGAAGAAGAAATCAGAAGTCTTTGATACCTTCAGAAAATGGAAGGCCATGGTGGAAAATGAGACTGGTTTGAAAGTCAAGCGGTTGAGGTCTGACAATGGAGGAGAGTACAGAGACAATAGATTCAGAGATTTCTGCGCAAACAATGGGATCAAGATGGAGACAACAGTTCCCATAACACCGCAGCAGAATGGCGTAGCTGAGCGCATGAACAGAACTCTGAATGAACGTGCTAGAAGCATGAGAATACATGCCGGATTGCCCAAATTTCTATGGGCTGAAGCTATCAACACTGCAGCTTACCTGATCAACCGTGGGCCCTCAGTTCCTTTGGATGGCGGAATACCAGAGGAAACTTGGAGCAAGAAAGAAATAAACCTTTCACACTTAAGAGTGTTTGGTTGTATTTCTTACGTACACATAGACTCTGCTGAAAGAAGTAAACTTGATGCTAAGTCCAGCAAATGTGCCTTTGTTGGTTATGGCGGTGATGAGTTCGGTTATCGGTTTTGGGACTACGAAAATCGAAAGATCATCAGAAGCAGAGACGTCATTTTCAATGAGAATGTGATGTACAAAGACAGGTCAACTGTAGAATCAAGCAGTTCAAATACCAAAGCTGAAACAAAGGAATTTGCTGAGTTTGAGGAGATTTCTGGAAATGATGTTCAGATCAATCCTGAAGCAGTTCAAGAAGAACCAAGCACACCAGAACTGAGACGCTCCTCCAGAATTCCCAAACCAACCCAACGGTATTCACCTTCTTTACACTACTTGTTGCTGACTGACAATGGTGAACCAGAGTGTTATGATGAAGCAATGCAAGTGGAGGATTCAGTCAAGTGGGAGTCTTTCATGAAAGATGAGATGGACTCGCTTATGTCAAATCAGACGTGGGAATTAGCTGAATTACCACCAGGCAAGAGAGCGCTCCATAACAAGTGGATTTACAGGATCAAAGAAGAGCACGATGGGAGCAAACGTTACAAAGCAAGATTGGTTGTCAAAGGCTTTCAGCAAAAAGAAGGTATTGATTACAATGAAATTTTCTCTCCAGTCGTAAAACTGTCTACAATCAGACTGGTGTTGAAAATTGTAGCTGCAGAGAATTTACATCTTGAGCAGTTAGATGTAAAGACAGCTTTTCTTCATGGTGATTTGGAGGAAGAAATCTATATGAGGCAGCCAGAAGGCTTCATAGAGACAGGCAAGAAAAACCTGGTATGCAGGTTGAAGAAGAGCTTGTATGGTTTAAAACAAGCTCCTAGACAGTGGTACAAGAAGTTCGATAGTTTCATGGGTAGCAGTGGTTTTACCAGATGCCAAGCAGATCATTGTTGCTACATCAAGAGGTTCGACAACAGCTTCATTATTTTATTATTGTACGTTGATGACATGCTCGTTGCAGGCTCAGATATGCAAGAGATTATAAACTTGAAGCAAAAATTGTCGAAGCAGTTTGCTATGAAGGATCTCGGCGCTGCAAAGCAGATTCTTGGGATGAGGATCAAAAGAGACACAAAGTCGGGGACTTTGATGTTATCACAGGCTGAGTACATCAACAAAGTACTCTCCAGGTTCAACATGCAAGATGCTAAACCAGTAAGTACACCTTTAGGTGTTCATTTCAGACTCTCCAAAGACCAATCACCAAAGACGGAGGAAGAACGTGCACACATGGTGAAGGTGCCGTATGCCTCAGCAATTGGAAGTCTGATGTATGCCATGGTTTGTACCAGACCAGATATTGCTCATGCAGTGGGAGCTGTTAGCAGGTACATGAATAATCCGGGCAAGGTACACTGGGAAGCAGTCAAATGGATCCTCAGATATCTGCGGGGTACCACAAACAAAGCACTTTGTTTCAAAAGTGGAGATACGATACTGACAGGCTATGTAGATGCTGACTTAGCCGGAAATATTGACATCAGAAGGAGCACTACAGGGTATGTCTACACTCTAGGAGGTACTGCAGTGAGTTGGGTTTCTCAACTACAGAAGATAGTTGCTCTCTCCACAACTGAAGCAGAATATGTCGCTGTTACGGAAGCCAGCAAGGAGATGGTTTGGCTCCAAAGTTTCTTGGACGAGTTAGGTAAGAAACAAGAAAACAATGTCTTGTATTGCGACAGTCAAAGTGCTATCCATCTAGCGAAGAATCCGTCTTTTCATTCCAGGACGAAGCACATACAATTGAGATATCATTTTATCCGGTCTCTTCTGGAAGATGGGATTTTGAAACTTGAAAAGATTAGTGGAGCTCAAAATCCGGCAGACATGTTGACAAAGACGGTGACCACGGACAAACTGAAGTTGTGTTCAACTTCAGTTGGCATGCTAGAATAAAAGACCAGAAATACTGCTGCATCGATCGATGTGTGAAGACAGATTGAAATTAGTCTTCAAGTGGGAGATTGTTGGTCAAAGACAGCAGCCAGGGGGGGCTGCTAAGGGAAGAAAAATGGGGGGCTGCTGATTTTTATTTTTATAATAGGTATAATTACAAAATTGAGTCATTGAACTTTAGGGTATTTACAAGATTAGTCCCTAAGTTTCAACTATAAATAGCCTAGCTCATTTAGCTTCAAAATCATCCCAAAAATCATTTCTTTCTCCCAATACTAGAGAGCTTTCTTGTGAGTAGTGAGTGTTTTGCAAACACCTGTAAAATTTCTCTCTTAGTAAAAGATCTGCAGCAGTCCGGAGACGTAAGCAAAATTGGCTGAACTCCGTTATCAATTTTTTCGGGTATTATTTTTCCGCTTTTATTTCGCGTTCTCACTAATCTGGTTATAGGGAAATTACTTGTACTCGGTTTATTTCCTAACAGAATCATCTTCACCAGAAGTTGCCTCAGTCTGCAATTTCCTCTTTTCTTCTGTTTGCTTGAACAGATTTGGAAAATCTTTTTCATCTCTACAAGCTGTTTTAGGTTCCATCACTAATGCTTTCTTCTCATTCTTTTCCTTGGCATTTGAGGAAGCTGATTTGTCGGAGGGGTTCATTTGATCTTCAGTGCTTACCTTCTTTTTCTTGTCCATTTTATGAACGGACAATTTGTCGGAGGATTTTGACTGATCTTCACCAGATGTTGCCTCAGTATGCAATTTCTCCTTTTGTTCATTTTGAAGCTCCATCACTGTTGCTGTCCTCTCATTCTTTTGCATGGCATTTGAGGAAGCTGATTTATCAGAGGGGATCATTCGATCTTCAGTGGTTACCTTCTTTTTCTTTCCCATTTTATGAATGGAACGATCTATCACACTTGACCATTCGTCATAGTCCTTCCTAGATAACAAACCTCCAAGCAGGACGATTAGAAGAGGTAGGCCATGACATCTTTGCAAGATCTTCTCCTTTAAAGCAATTAGCTGTGAATCATTTTCATCTTTCTCCATTTTCTTTGCAGCTTGTACCTTCTTCAAGAACAATTCCCAGCTTTCATCATCAGTTAGAGATCGTAGCTGCAGAACTACAACCTCTGGATTGATATGGTATGCTAGATACACATTCCGAGTAGTGATTATCACCCTGCTTCCATTTGATAAATTTGGAAAGAAACGATTTAGTCTCTCCCAAACTTCCAGTGTAGGAACATCATCCAAAACTATCAAGAATCTCTTCCAGGTTAAGAAAAGATGAAGCCTTTCCCTCAACTGCTCCGGTGTCAAGCTCTCCTTTTGCTTGGCATTTCTAAGCTGTCCCAATAAATCAACTAATAGCTGTTTCTCATTGAATTCATCCAACTGCCGAGGCACATTAACCCAAGCTCGACATTTGAAGTGCCTCTTACTTGCTACACTGTTATAGATCGTCCAGACAAGAGTTGATTTGCCTGAACCTACCACCCCTAACACTGAAATTAGAAAATGCAACTTGTGGCTGTTGAGTGTTAGTCCTTCTAACTCCCTTTCTTTATCAATGAAACCAACAATGCTCGACTCTTCGTCCTCACCATCAGAGAGTCTACTGTGGTGCTCTACAACCGTTTGATCTGAAAAAACTTCTCGCACATCTTTTAAGTCGGGGGACTTTCTCACCATTTCAGAGTTAGCTTCACCTCCGGTTAGAATAAAAATCACCCGGCTACCATTCAAGGAATTTGGAAGGGAAAGCTTGAGTTTGCCCCAAAGTTTACTTGTCCATATGTCACATAAAACCACAAGGTACCTCTTTTTAGCTAAGAAATTGTGAAGTCGTTTTCGTAGTAACTCAACAGTTGGCTCTTCTTTCAACTTGGCATTAGTGACTTGCTCAAATATGTCGGTTAGAACATTTATTTCATGATACTCCTGTGGAACATCAACCCAAGCACGACATTGAAAGTGCCGTTTAACGTCTTTTCCGTTGTAGATTGGCCATAACAAGGTTGTCTTGCCCGAGCCTGCCGTACCCTTGATTGAAATGAGGAAAAGCAAAATGTGCGGGTTTAGAATTGATTGTGTTAGCTTGTCAATTGCAGCCTTCACACCAGTAATGCCGTATTCGTCCTCCAAATAAGTAGAAGATTGAGGCCATCGATCTAATAATTTCCCAGAGAAATTGTCTCTCTGACCAATCCATGAACTAATTTGCCTTGCAACATTCTCATTCTGAACAACAGTAATCACCTTGCTCCCATTCAATGAGTATGGGAAGGCTGGTTTGATACTATCCCAAAACTCAGCTGTGTGGACGCCATATAAAACTATCAAATACCTCTTTGAAACTAAGAAATCGTGGAGGCTCCGCTGCGGTGACTGAAGGGGTAGCCTCTCTTCCTCTTTGCCACCACTAATCTGTTTTAGAATGTCAAGTGAGATATCTCTTTGTCCACGCTCTTCAGAAACACGAACCCAAGCACGACACTGGAAATGCCCTTTGATATCATCTGCACTATAGACTGTCCACAGAAGAATCGCCTTACCAAGGTATGCCCCATCAACAGTTAAAAAGAGATATTGCGAAGTAATCCGGCTAAGTACTTGTTGACTTAACTTCTTTTCAAGGTCTGGCAAAACAATCATAGATGCATTTGATGTAATAGTCTCATTGTCAGTTGAGACTTGCAGATCTTCAGACTCGGTTGATGACTTCGTCGGTGGAATAATAGAATCTGCTTCTGGAATTCCAGGATCACTTGATGGACTTGGTTGAATTTTGTTGCAGTAATTCCTTATGCTCTCTGTCAGTTGATCAATCTTAATGCTTAAAGACCCTTCACTCAAGTAACTGGTGGATGTACGCCTCTTTCTCATGACTTTGCGACTTGGCACCATCATTCTGCCCAAAAGGATTTCAATATCATCCTCCAAAGAATATATATTTTTCAGAAGCTCATCCCACTCATTATCAATTGTATCTGCCGTTTCAAAGATTTTCTGCAAATGTTTTAGCTCTTCAATTGAGTCAATGACATGTGTTTTCAAACCCGGAAAGTTAGGTTCATGACTTGCAACCAAATTTAGTTTGCTTATCAAAATTTGTGCAGTTTCAAATGCCATGGAACTCAACTCTCAGTATTTATGCGGCTTTCTTGTGAGTGCCAACTAAAGCGAAAAGGGACTGAATTGCACAAAATTTCAGAGCTGAGCCTGAGATGCAAACTCACATACTTGTCCACGCCTCTTTCTTATATGGTATGCAGCTTTTATTTTTCCATTGTTTCCTGCATTTTTACATTTTCACATGCTTAGAGTAATCTACTCTGGAACTGTATTCTATTATCAAAATAAATGTTCTGAAATACATTGAAAGAAAGTTTCCTATTGAATTTCTACCCAGAAATATACTGAACGGGCATAAGTATATTTGGAAGAAGACATGAAAACTGTTCCAGACATTGAAACCTTCTTTCCAAAAATTCTAAGCTTGCAAGGGCTTGAAGTGAATTTCAGGCAAATGCAAGAAAAAGGCTAGAATTTGATAAGTTCTTTCACTCAAAATGCAATCCAAGTACATTTCTGATGTACAATTCATGTCGAACCATCTTTGTTTTCATGAATTTCTGCAATGCTACTTGGAAAAGTTAAAAGATGCAAGACAGGAACTAAATTTTACCATACACACAGAACAGAAAAGATGAACAGAATAAAACTTGCCTTGATAAGTTCACTGCAATGTCCATCGTTTAATATTGGAGCTTTGGGCTGTTAGAAATTTTGAGGCGGTAACTTCCAGGAAAATGTCAAAAAACCTCTTAGAGATTCCACTTCCAGGGAGGATGTATAGTCGGTGTGATGACACAAAGTTTTTGTTGCTTTGAAATTGAAATCAAACTTTACCTCCAAATCTTTCCTTGTCAGTTAAGAATAGAATATAACAGTAATCATAATTTATTTCTACTTTCCTTGGATTTTATTTAAAGTTGAAAAAGAGAGATTCTCAGAGACCTTGGCCCAGCAAGTATTCATAATTTCATAAGCCATGTGTCTCAGATACTTCCTTCACGTAACTGTTTCCTGGTATATGTCCCACCCTGAATTTGAGCCTGGGCTCGGGGCTGCAATTATTCTCTTTCCTATAAAGTATATTGGCGAAAGGAAGATGGACATAAGCACACAACCCAGAAAAAAGATGGGAAAACAAGTGGTTGAACAACTGGATGCCCAAATGATCCTAGCAATGAAAGGCCATTTGAAGGAGACAAGGAATCCAGTAGCCTACGAGCTTGCCAAACACCTGCAATACCCTCTCATTAACCAAGACGTAATCACCCCATCTCCCAAAAATTCTCAAGATCTCAATGACATTTCCTTCGGCATTGCTCTTAAAATTGCTTCAATCCAGCTGAAAGTGTTGAAGCTGGGGGTGATCGTCAGCACACCACTTGGTCAAAGAAGCCACTTGGATAAATTAAAGGAGCAGGCAAATTCTGATGGTGCTATTCTGGTTATAATTCAATGCCTGCCGACAGATAAGAGACTTTTGAAGGAGTTCCAAGGCTCACCGTTGACACCAGAAAGCCAACCTTTGATGCCGAAGAATTTGTTTCAGATGAGTTGGATAAGGTCAGGATAAGATCTCACCGGCACTTACATCCCTTAACGTTCATTAACAATATAATTGCTGAACCTGAAGTCAAATGCAGCCGCTGCCAGAAATCAACTTCAGGTCCACACTATCAATGTTTTCTAGGATGTGACGAGTATATATTCGATAAAGCCTGTGCAGAGCTTCCTAGTGACATAGAAATTGTTGGGAAAAACTGCCCTGTATATTTAAGGCGAAGTCAACCTGAATATCTGTTTCCAAAAGATAAGAGACGTAAGTGCAAGATATGTGAAGATAAAGACAAAGAGTTCTCAGATAGTTGCCATGATTGCCTGTTGCAAACCAACATGAAAGGTGCATTCCTACCAATCATCGTTAACCATGAATCACATGCACATCCTCTCAATCTATTAATGATGCCATTGTCTTACTATTAATTTTTTGATAAAAGTAGGAGGTCTTATTAAAAACCACCCTTCATAGTTGTCTCTTTCATAAGGAAATGATCAACTAGCGGAAGGAGGAAAAGAGTACCTCATTTTATTGATATAACATAAGAACAACAATAATCCTTTGTATTACATCAGAAAAGATTGTCCTCTAAATATGCAGAAAACATCCTAGATACAACCAAACAATTACCCAACCGCTTCTTTAGCTAACTTATCCGCTCCCAATTACAACCCCTAGAAATTATCTTCACTATTAACGCCCTAGACAATACAAAAGACACAATTTCCTTGATTAGGTTACTAAAGTACACAGGAGCGGAAGAAGACGATTGGATCCATTCCACAACTGTTTTGTAATCACTCTCCATAATCAATCTACCTTTAGTTGACCAAACTGAGGAAAAGAAAATTTCAGTTCCTTTCCTATTGCCTTCAATTCGGCTAATGGAGGAGGTCCAGGTCCGACGCTTTCTGAAAACGACGCTAGACTGAAGCCATTTGAATCTTTCAGAATACCCCCTATGCCACCTGCCAACCCATCTTTTCTAACAGCACCATCAATATTGAACTTGTAGAAATCCACAGGAGGAGGAAGCCATCTCTGCAAAGCCCTACTCTGAACCTTTGAGCACTGGAGGTCGTCTGCTAGAGAGGGATCAGCAATCAATGAATCAACTGAGATAGAAACTTGATGGAACTTGGCTAAAAACCACTTAGCCAATCTAAATCTAATGATGAAGAAGAGGGAAGACCTGTCTAGGTCCCGGTTCTCGAATACAATTGAGTTTCTATGATTCCAAATAGACCAAAGAACAACACCCGAAATAAATTTCCAGATTCGTAGAATTTGCCATCAAATCAGGCCAAGAACTAAGGAGGGATAGAGGATCCTGAGGCAAAGTTGTACAGACATCCCAAAACATGAAGAACTTATTCCAAATCTCCCAAGCCACTGAGCAGAAAATAAACAAATGTTGGACAGATTCTTCATTTTGTTTACATAGCGGACAAAGATCACCATCTGCTAAGGGAACCCCTTTTATTCAACTCTGATTTTACTGCCAGTTTTTGGTGAGTTACTTTCCAGAGAAAAGTTTAGAGGAACCAACCCAAACCATACTCGTTTCTTTCAAATAGGGTTCTCCACATGATCCTTAGCTAAAGTCATTCTGCAGGATTTCACCGAAAACAGCCCATCACCCTTCCCAGACCATGATAGAAAATCATCCACTACCTCAGACAACTTTATGTTGTTCAATTTAATCATTAGTTCTAACCATTGTTCCAATTCCCATTCACACAAATTTCTTCTTGTTTGTATATTTCAAGACCAACCATTAGAATCATAACAACCAAAGTCGACCACATTACCCGATTTATTTGAAGACAATGCAAAAATTCTAGGAAATTGAATTTTCAAAGAGGTATTGTCTACCCAAACATCATTCCAAAAGGATATTGACTTAACATTCCCCACTTGGAACCTAGAATGAGATCTTAAACTCTCTCCAGCCGAATCATTCTTTAAGAAGCTACTGACAATTCCTTTCCATATCCAAGAGTCTTGGGGAGAATACACCCTACTTACAAACATAGTCAAACTGTCTACATTGTGTTTGCTACAAATCAAGTTTTTCCACAAGGTGTCTTTCTCATTTGCAAACTTCCAAATCCATCAAGTGTCGATTTCGGTGGACTCATTAATGGTTGATCCTTCTTTAGCAGATGGTTTCAAGTGTTCAAAAGTTCCGAATAGGGTTGTACATAAATGGCTCCCTCCCCCTGTTGACTTCTACAAGTTTAATGTAGATGGTGCTGTTAGAAGAGATGGGATGGCTGGTGGCATAGGGGTATTCTTAAAAATTCAAATGGCTTCGTTCTAGCGTCGTTTTCAGAGAGTGTTAGACATGGTCCTCCCCCATTAGCAGAGTTGAAGGCTATTAGGAAAGCTACTGAAATTTTCTATTCCTCAGTTTGAGCTACTAAAGGTAGATTGATGCTGGAAAGTGACTGTAAAAATGGATCCAGTGCCCCTGTGTACTTTAGTAATTTAATTACGGAGATTGAGTCTTATGTACTGTCTAGGGCGTTGTTAGTGAAGTTAATTTCTAGGGGTTGTAATTGGGAGGCTGATAAGTTAGCTAAAGAAGGGATTGGGTGATTGTTTGTTGTTTTATAAGATGTTCCTGCATCTTTTTAGGACATCCTTTTCTGATGTTATGTAAAGGTTTACTGTTGTATTTATGAAATATCAATAAAATGAGGTATTTTTTCCTCCTTCTGCTAGTTGTCTTTTAAAAAAGGAAAGGGACAACTAGAGGATATCCAGTACTTCGGGTACCCAAAAATGCAGATACTCGGTTTTGAATACCTGTACAATCATTTGTATCTCTCAAAAGATAACTATAGCCGCTCAAACATTTAGCTCTCTTATTATTGATCTTAAATGTCTTGTAATATACCTTACCTTATTTGCTTATTGATCTTATCTTCCTCATGATTGTGCTATGACTCGGTTACACATATAAGATTTCCAGCTCTTAATCACCACAGCTCCACATAATTAATCACTTTAAATAACCAAATTCCCATCTCAATCTGAACATTGCTCAGTACTAATTGAAATTATCAAGTTCTTCAAGTGTTCAATCCCAAGAACAAACAATGAATGCATTAGCAGCTACCAACAGAAACTTTAAGCATGCATCCAGGCTTCTTGGATTGGACTCTAAGCTTGGAAAGAGTTTGCTAATCCCTTTCAGGAAATCAAGGTGTCTAAATTTCTCTTTGTTTCTCCATTTTTTTATGTCTGTTATTCTCTTGAGATCTGCATGTACACTTTAATTGTGCCGTGTTTCGCAGGTCGAATGCACCGTGCCAAGAGATGATGGCACATTGACGACTTATGTCGGGTTCAGGGTTCAGCATGACAATGCAAGAGGCCCCATGAAAGGAGGAATCAGATATCACCCTGGGGTTGAGCCGGATGAAGTGAATGCTTTAGCACAGCTAATGACATGGAAGACTGCGGTTGCTAACATCCCGTACGGTGGTGCGAAAGGCGGGATCGGATGTGATCCGGGAGAGTTGAGTTTATCGGAGCTCGAACGGCTTACTCGAGTTTTCACACAGAAGATACATGACCTGATTGGGATTCACAGAGATGTTCCAGCGCCTGATATGGGTACAGGTCCACAGGTACAACTTGTACATGTATCGAAAATCTCGTTTCATTCAAGTTTTCTTTCTACCTAGTTGGTTCTAGCGTTCGAAAAGTGTTTAGAAATAGATGAATGTAACATTTTCTGTTGGTTAAACAGACAATGGCATGGATACTAGATGAGTACTCCAAATTCCACGGCTATTCACCAGCTGTAGTCACTGGAAAACCGACGGTAAGCATGTCCAAAACAAGGTAGAACATTCAAGTTCGTAACTCTTTTTTTCGTTTTGATTCAAGTTGTTATCATTTAGGATCTTGGAGGATCACTAGGCAGAGACGCAGCTACCGGCAGAGGAGTCTTCTTTGCCACCGAGGCACTTCTTAATGAACATGGAAAGGCCATCACCGGACAAAAATTAGTCATACAGGTGCACCTTCGATGCCCGAAAAACTTAAATTCTGACATGGACACACTTAAAATGTAGCAAAAATTCCATTTCAGGGCTTTGGAAATGTTGGTTCCTGGGTTGCAAGACTCATCCATGAGAAGGGTGGGAAGATTGTTGTTGTAAGTGATGTCACATGAGCCATAAAGAACGGAAAAGGCTTTGACATTCCAGCCTACTCAATCATGTCAAAGAAAACAAGGGTGTCAAAGGATTCTATGGCGGGGATTCTTTGGATTCTAAGTTAGTCCTCATCGAAGACTGCGACATACTCATCCCGGCAGCACTCGGAGGCATCATCAATAGGTTTAACCCCTCATTTTACATTTCATTTCCTGCAAATCAGTTTGATATTTGAAACTAAATGTTGTCCTTTTGATCTTTAAGGTAAAATGCAAAGGATATTAAAGCCAAGTTCATTATCAAAGCTACTAATCATCCTACTGATCCCGAGGCCGACAAGGTTAGTGTTCGTTATCCGAATTTGCAACTTCGAGTAGCTAAAAACATGTGCAAACGGTCTCATTTCCTCTCATTCTTCACATGCAGATCTAATCGAAGAAAGGGGTCGTTATCATCCCTGACATATACTCGAACTCCGGAGGAGTGACCGTTAGTTACTTCGAGTGGGTGCAGGTACATGTCACATACCACTCCTCATTTCCATTACCATTCTTCACACTAGAACCACATAAATAATCAATAGGTCACATTTTTTTCATGTTGTAGAACATTCAAGGCTTCAAAGGATGAGGAGTAGGTGAACAATGAGCTAAAGACATACATGACCAAAACATTCAAAGATGTTAAAGAGATGTGCCGTATTCACAACTGTGACCTCCGAATGGGAGCGTTTACCCTCGGGGTTAACCGCGTCGCACGAGCGACTGTTACCCGAGGTTGGGAAGTGTAAGAGGCTATGTCTATGCGGATCTGAATAAAAGATGGGATAGGCTATTGTGAGAACCATGATTTTTGGTTTACTCCATTGCAGTAGAACAAGTGTCATTGTTATTTGCTGCCTTTATGAGCACCAGTTTTGTTCCAAAAGAGGTCTCGTTACTATGATAAGATTAATGGATTTCATTTGCTGTCTTATTAGCACCTTTTTGTGTCCCCAAATGAAGTTTCATTAATGTGGGATTTGATGTGAACTTCTAATCCGGACTAATTCGGATCGACCCGTGTCGCGAAGCTTCTTTAATTAGTTGATAAGGTGAAAAAAATCGACTTTATTCATGTACAACTTCAATTTCTTTGATTATTTAATTTATTATTTTGTGATTATCTTTGATTTTTTCATGCACAATTCATGTACAACTTCAATTTCTCTTACACTATAAGTTTTTTAATTTTCTATTTTATTTTATTTGTTCTTTAAATTACTCTATAAATATCTATACTATCATAACACTTAATTCATAATCTCTTATTCTTTTAAAAAATAATATTATGAATATATTAGTAGATAATTTAGATAATATTTAATTTATTAAAAAATACAAATTTCATTACACAATGGAATTATTTTTTCGAATTATAATTTAATAAATATATAATTATAAATATTATATAATTTTAATTAATATTTAATTTATTAAATACTATGTCAAAGTACAGTGAAAAAGAAACTGAAATATTGGTGAGGGGCCCGCAACAACAAGTTATGACGCACCCTCTCCCACTATAGCAACCCAACCTGACCTGATACGATCGATTTAAAAAAAATAAAAATTCGAGTCAGGTTAGACCAATTTTTCAAAAGGTGACGTCGGATTAGATTGGGTTCGAGGGTGAAAAACTTCAATCCGAACCGATGATAATAATATAATATCTTTAAAAAAATATATTATTTTTTAATTTTTAAAAATTCAAGTTGAATCAAAATTAGAGGAGAAATCGAGTGGTAGATATATAATTTCCAATTGTATGAAGGATATAAAATTTTCGAACTCGAATAAAAAATATAATTAACTAAAAACCCAACCCAATGTCATCATGCAAATCTCTATGGGGAGACCTTAGGTGAGGACCCCTCCCACTGCCACAAATTATGACGTAGGCTCTCCCACTATGGGGAGACCTTAAGCTAGTGCCCCTCCCAAGTGCAATGGAGGTCACTAACCTAGGCCATGAGTCTTGTTGATCGCCCATTGACCCCGTCCAGGTAAGTATGTTGCTATGACGCCAGTTGCCTCTTATTTATACAGTCCAGCTCCTTGTCTGTTCACTTCCTCAGTCCATGTCGGATTAGTCTTCTGGGTTTGAATTTTCCAACCAACTGGTGAGTTGGTGAGGCTGAGTGAAGCAACAACGGATTTACAATGAATATACTAAACTCCTGAACATAATAATCTGTGTCCTTGTTTCTTTCTCCCAAAAATGGTTGTAAATCAGACATGGATTCCCTTTTGAATGGTCATAATTTAAGTTAGATATCAGAGTCTGCAAAAGCTTTCCCCAATGGAGTTGGAGGGTTTTTGTACTAAACTGTACACTTTAGCTACAAAGAACGGATTCATTTCGTTCATATTGTTTCGGTGAGTCAGTTCCATAAATCAACTATTTAGGCTCATTCTTATAATTGTGAAACAGATTAATGAGGACACCGTCATTCTTATAATTCTGATGAAAAGTGCTTACATCCCAAGCACTCTGGGAAATATATAACTAGGATATAGCTCGTAATCTTTGGCTAACACGGCGAAGTTCAATTCGGAACTTTGAATCAATCATCTCCTTGGAGAAGTACGACGTCCCCGATGACGACGTGATGGTGCACAGTTGAAATAACCGATAACATACATCACTGCAGTTGAACACAAGAACCCAGTAGGGTAGCCAATTGCTGCAGCTACCCATGAAAACATTGTTTCCTGTTTCTTCATCGATGGTAACCCTGGTGGAACCGAATCTTCTTCACAAGGAACCTGAATTTGCACCCCACACAAGCCACTGTTATTGGCATAAATCCAAAGATCGACCAGCCTATCCATTTGAGGACCTTCAGGAATCTTTCCACTAAGTTCGTTGTTGCTCAAGTCTAAATAATTTAGCTCCTGGAGCTCGGAAATTGTTCCTGGTATTCACCGGTAAGGTTATTGTGTGACAAATCCAGGGTCTCAAGACTCTGCAGATCACCAATACTCATTGGAATTTTGCCAGAAAATTCATTGAGTGAAAGGTTAAGTAGCTTCAAACTTTTGAGACCACCTAATGAATGTGGAATTCCTCCTGATAACTGGTTCTTTGACAAGTCCAGGAAAGTATAGATATCACGGTTTCGGATCGAGAGGCCTTGCTTTGATTTCTTCCAGTTCACTATCAAGTCATGGATTTCAACAGGAAAATTGAAGAAGTCAGAAAGTGCTACTGGAACATCTGGTGTGTCAATCATCCCTGTAAGATTTCCCAAGCTTTGAGGAATTTCACCATTGAGGTTGTTGTTGGAGAGGTCGAGGATTCGGAGACTGCTAAGACTCGACAGATCATTGGAGATCAATCCATCAATGGAATTGTTCCTAAGATTAAGTACTTGAAGAGAGGACAATTGAGAGAAGAAAGCTGGGAATTCACCACTGATATTGTTGTCATGAAGATCAAGGTGTTCAAGCATGGTCAAATTGCTAAAATTTTCAGGCAACGGACCAGAAAAGCCATTTTGACTTAACGAAAGCATCGAGGTGAAGAGTCCAAAATCCACAGGAACTTTACCAGAGAAATTGTTGGAAGAAATATCAACATAAGCAATTAAGCTATTTGGTCCAAATGCTGGAAATTCACTGCCAGAAAAGCTATTGTTTGACAAGTCCAGCAGTAATAACCTGTAGATATTTGAGATGGATTTTGGCACTAGCCCTGAAAACTTGTTTCCTTAGAGCATGAGTATCATTATTGAAGTAGTATTGATTTCTGGCAATTCGCCAGAAAACTTGTTTCTCGACAACACGAGGATCGATAGATTTCGAGATTGAAACAACTGAGGTGGCAAAGAGCCTGAGAGCTTGTTATCTGATAGAATAATTGTTCCAAGGCTTCTTTCAGCTGCTAACCACAGGGGGAACTCTCCTTCAAGATCATTCTCACTCAAGTCCAAGAAAATAAGATCAGTTTGATTGGAGATCCATCTAGGAATCTCCCCTCTAACACTGCAAGATCTCAATGATAATGAAGACAACTTACACATCGGCTCGATCTTGAGACTGTTGTTCCATGCTAATCTGTTTCCTCCAAGGTGCAGCTTCTTCAACTCCTTGAGTTCAAATAGCCATGCTGGGATCCCATCAGACAGCATATTGTTCTCCAGCTGAAGTGTCTCCAGCTTCCTCAGCTTCCGAACAGACGACGGGATTTCGCCACTCAAAAGATTCTTGCTCAAGTCTAGAGTTGTTAGATTCACCAAGTTCCCAATGCCAAGTGGTATCTCCATGGAAAGTGTATTGTTCTGCAGGATCAGAACTTCAAGCTTTGCGAGCTGCAATATCGACAATGGAATCCTACCGGATATTCGGTTGCTGGAAACCGTCAACTTCCTCAGTTCAGCGAGGCTTCCAAACTCTTCAGGAAGCTCTCCATGAATGAAGTTGGCATCCAAGCTCAACTGTTTCAAACTTTTAAGACCAACAAAATCATTAGGTAACCCTCCTTCGATCATATTGTCACTGAGATCAAGGAATTCCAGATTAGTCAAATTAAACAACTGCAGAGGAATTGAACCATTGAAGCTATTTCCTCTCATGTCAAGATGCACCAGTTCACTCAAATTTCGCAGTCCAATCCCCGGAATTGCACCTTGAATGGAATTGTAGGAAACGTCGAGCGACGTCAAGGTCTTGATCCAGAAAATCGGTGCCAAAACATCTGAAGTCTTTCCTAGTGTAGGAAAAACACTGGATAGATTCAGACCAATCACATGTTGTGAAGATGAACTGGAACCACATTCCACCAGAGCCCATTGACAACATTCTGAACTGGAATTCCATGTTTCCAAGCCACCAAGAACCAAATCTGTCGAGTTGTCGTCCCTCGTCGAATCTTGAACTAGAAAATCCTTGAACTCCAGGAGAGCATCTCGTTGCTCATGTAGGCATGGAAAGGAACCAATGAAGCTGAGACTTAGAACAAAAACTATACCATGATTTAGAAAGTAAGCTAAAATTTGCCATCTTTTAGCTTTTTGACGTTTACTTTTTTTCCACTTAATCTGCTTCTGGTTGCTACTTTTAAAGGAGGAAGTAACTACACTGGTTCATACATGGTAGTCAAAGGGTGAGTCTTTGCTCGTAATGTAAAATATTGATGGGAAAGTGAAGAGAAATTTCATTTTTTCCAGTGGGAAGGAATAAATTATAGTCATAGAGTGATGATGAAGGTAAGTTGGAATTAGTCAGATTATTCATAATTTTTAGTCATTATCAGTGTTGACTAGCACCGAAAGGTGCCTAAATTAATGCACCGAAAGGTGCATGACCCCTTTTATTGAAAATATAAAAAATGGGATAATTTAATTTAGTCACTAAATTTTATGGTATTTATAAATTAGTCCTTAGGTTTCAACTATAAATATTCTAGCTCATTTAGCTTCAAAACCATTCCAAAGCATTCTAGCTTTCTTCCAATACTAGAGAGATTTTAGAGAGTTTCTTGAGAGTTGTTTTCTCCTTTTTTATCTAGAGAGAATTATCATTGTTTTCTCCTTGGTAGATCGAGAGAGGTTGTAATTCCTATTTTCTCATAGTAAAATTCTTTTACTGTTGCCCGTGGTTTTTACCCTAAATATTTTAGGGATTTTCCACGTAAATTTTGTGTCTCTTTTATCTTCATTTTTATTTTCTTAAATTATCAGTTACGATTTTGCTCTATCCGATAGCCGTCTTCCGCAACAATCAGCTCGTTGAATCATAGCAAAATTTTGGTATAAAGAATAGGATAGTCAAAGTTTATATCATTTGTTTTTATTGTGAAGACATAATTGTGAAGATCAACAAATATAGTATTCCCTATTTAAATAGGTTTTCTTCAAAGGCAAAATGCCAAAAAAAAAGCCCATAATATATATTAAAATAGTTATTTTGGCATATATTTATTTTGGAACATTTTGACCTCAACATTTCATTTTATGGGAAAAAGGTCCCTAACGTTTGATCGAATAGTCACTTTGGCTCTTATTCTTTTTTCAGATTATTTTGGACCTCAACGTTTCAATTTATGATAAAAATACCCCTATTTTGAAGCGTTAACCGTTTATTGACTAACTATCTACATAGGGACCTTTTTGCCACTAAAATGAAACATTAGGGTCAAAATCCTCCCCAGAAAAAAAAGAATAAGAGCCAGACTAACTATTTAGTCAAACATTAGGGGCATTTTTTTTACATTATTTATGCATTCCACAAATGTGTTTCCATCAGGAAATTTCCTGGAAAACCCTTCAACATTTTATTTTAGTCCATTTAAATTTGAGATAATTCAGTAAACTATAATTTAAAAAGGAAAACAAACAATTAGATCATTACAAGATGTACTATTGGATTCAAAGCATCATATGATTAAACAAATGGCTGCCATTACTCAGAGGTTCTCAAATTGTACCAATTTTCTTCTTTTTCTACCCACGTCTTACATTCACATATGAAGATCAAAAATTCCTCACAGCTTCAGATTTTTTAACATTCTTTGTTCATTTTGGACTGTCACAATGTACACCAGAATGTGCAGACTGTCCGCCCGTAACAAATCGATGCAATGGGTTCTTCGCCCATTTTTCCTGCAACAAGAACAACAGTAACAGCAGACTATCATCAGGTATTCGAAAATATGAACTCATTGAAGCAAGAGGTCGAGCTTCGATGATAAAGAGACGAGCAACACTTGGCGGACACTTGGCAGAATTTGCACAATGGACGACCATCGTCAAGTGTAGTCCAAGCACTTGGATACCTGGACCACTTGCACACTAACAACATGGCCTACTGTCAGTAGGGAGGCGCCATTAGAGGGGGTTCTGCTTTCGGATCATGTGGCTACTATGCCTGGAAGAAAGGACAAAGGTGCTATAATGTTGGTAACAACAACAAAGATAGGGTCACGTTTATGGAAAAAGGAGTATAGATGGTTCAAATGAGCTGAACAAAGAACCTGCAGTAAAAGGGTGCAAGGATGGTAAAAAAAAAAACTAGTTGTTAAAAACCAGAACCTTCAACTGACTAACAGCAACAAGGAGAACTTTATTAGTCATTTGGACAATCCCTTTGTTTCCATTGATGCCTTCTCGATATTCGGTGAACTTTCGGGTCTGCAATGAAGATTTTAGTTTTAGCAGGCAAGTCTCAGCAAGAGGAGCTTATACAAAATGCATAAGAGCTTATTTGGATCAGCTTGTACATGCATGAGCTCATCAGTGATTATGCTAAAGCGATGATCAAGGTTTGCACCATGCTTTTACGAGTAACTAATGATTTGAGCATTGATGATCGTTGATTCTATTACCTTTTATTGTTTTTGACGTCTGTAATTCATCCCTGAGCGCGCTTTATACATCAAAGGCCTGGGGCTACTGCAGACATTATCTGTTGTCATCGAATTTCGAACTCTCATGTCCATCTTGAGCAGTGAAATCTGAATCTTCGATCCGGCCCTGGTTCCTTGTAAAGCTTCAATGGTGATTGCCTGTGTTACACAGGGAAACATGGTAAAAGTTTGAGTATGACAACTTGTAATTATATATAATTCCAATGGCGGATGCTTTCTGTAAATCATCATTGAGCATGCTTTTATACTCATCATGTAAACTTCCATGCGTTTCTGGCAAATTATAAACTTTCATGCTTGTGAAAGAAAAGGGGTCATTATTTTCAGTATTGAGTGCAATAATCACCTTCTCAGTATAAATGCGACACTGAAGCTATTCCAGTTCGACTCAGAAAAGTTGATAAACAAGTATAGTCAAGTTTGATTATGTCTCAAGTTGAATTCAAATTTGAAAATTGTTGTCTGATAGAATTCGAACCAATATTGAGTGCCGAGTTTTGAATAAGCTCGAGCCTGTAATTGTTCGGACTTAGCTCAGCTCGATTACACCCTAGCCATGATACCAAGCACATAAATGGAACAACCAAAGATTTTGTTCATTAACAGTGAAAAAACTGCTACGGAAAAGGGGCATTGAGAAACCTGTTTTCCAACATTCTTCCTAACACCGTTCCTAATTCACTAGGGACTGAAAAGTGTTCGATACAAACACAGTACAGGGATCTAAGTTGGAACAATATAGAAGCTTTCATCCTCAACTTCAGTCAACAACAAAGAAGTGAGGGCTACAATTACAATCAAAGGAGGCCAAAAAACATTTTATAAGCCGTCTTTGAACGTACTTTATCGTTTCGAAACTCGAGACATTCTTTCTTGTTCACAAGATCAGCAACATTAGGCCCTCGGACATCAAGCTCGGCAGGACTATCATCGGTCGATGACACAGATTCAGATATGCCTTGGTTTTCGTCATCACTGTATGAACGGGCTTTGCTTTTGACCTTATTGATAGTACCACGCTGATAACTATTGCGGCTTGTGGTTGGACTGGATCCAAAATTTTCTGAGCAGGACTTCTGAACCTCCTGTATTGTTTCTCAGAGTAGCCCGAGTTCAACTCGTTTGGATCTTGGAGAGAACAGATGAGTCTCCTTGGAGTCGTAAAGAGGTTGTCAACGTTAATCTGTGACCGTGACCTCTGAAGAACAAAATGTAGCAATGCAAATGCAGTTTAAACAAACAAATAAGAGGGCCAAATCTACATAAACAATGTAGAGAATTTTACCTGAGGACTGGGAGTGGCACTTCTTGCTACCCCATTTCTAGGACTCCTATGCAAGAATCCCGAAAGTTCGTCCGTTAACTCGGATCCATGATTGCTGAGAAGGTCAGAAGGTGAATTGCATATGAACCTCCGTTAGCAACCGCAGAGAACAAACCATCTTTAAGCGATACATCTACACCTCCATTTTCGTATCTCCAAAGCTTCCGATTCACACTCCTTTGATCATATTCCATGTTGCAAGAAATTTGAGTCATTGAAATTGGTGACTCAAGCAATGAGTCATATTCCATAAAGGAATCGAGCGTCTGTGATTCAGGTGAAGCGGTTGCAGGAGATTCTCACTAGTTGTGCCTATGTTCCTCCTTTGGTTGAGATCTCTCCTACCAAAATTTGATCCAGTAACCGAACCACAACTGTTCTCAATTTTTGACCCTTTCTTGCGCTATTTTCTTTGCAGATTGAGAAGCTTCATAAGCTGCCCCTTTAACATAAGCCATCTGATCAGATTGACACTTCTCCATCTCTTCTATAATCAGCCTACCTCAGAGTGTATGCTCCTTGGATCCAACCACTTCATCAAGAAATTTATCATTTGTATTGCGGAAAACCGTTCTGAGAATTGCCTTCTGCAAGCCCCGCATTCGATATTCTCAACCCAGATTTTATTAACAATCGAGCATATGCTTCAACAAATCAGAGCATTCTGCTTAGCCAAAGCCATAACCAGCCCCATATGTGCATTTGTTTGAGACTTCTCATCCAAAGCACCAGCTACATTTTGACAAACATTGGTGACCATGTCATCGGAAGCAAACTCCAGTTATCGGACTCTACAAGCGCCTTCAAGCAAAGGGCAGCTCCCGAGCTCAAGCTTTCTTGGGAACCTAAAAGAGATTCCGAAAGAGGATTACAAAGCGAGTGAATTATATGCCTCTTCTTATCTGCTGGAGTGGTAGGATCAATCCCATATCTTGCAATGGCAGGAACCACCTTCGAGCAGGCTTGTTGTAGAGGAAAAGAGCCTGCACTGGAAGCTAATGTCTTGATAATGGTAGACATTATGCTATCGATCTGAGGAACAATCTTCACACCATGAACCCGTGCAAGAACTTCATAGAGCGAAATGGGTATTCACCCGACACACACCCGGTTTCTTTCGTCTCGGAAACTTGAGCAAGGAACACCGGTATCTCCTTCGAATCCAAGTCTCTCACATATGATTTCAGTGCTTTCATTGCAGATTTCCGGCTGTCGGCATCTTTGTCAAGTTTGCCAATTCTTGACGCAATATCGGGCTAAGATTTCTACCCATCATTTACCTGAAAAAACATAAGAGTCCCCTGAAAGTTGAGTATCTCAATATCCTAACTTAAATACCGAGGAATCTGAGAAAAAAAGGACAATAAACCAGAAATTACACTCATTTCTGAGAAAATCTACTCACTAGATTAATACAAACTAAAAGAAGAAAACCAAGTTTAAATTTATGATGTTCCACTAGTTCCCTACATTTTCCTATGAACCTAAAACAAAATAAGACCTTGATCTGGAAACCTAACATGAGTTTTTCCTATTATACAATTAAAAAACCAAGTTTATGAAAAAGGGTAGTTCAGATTTTGCTCAAGAACCGCAAAATGAACTCTGAAATGATAGAACCCTTTCGAAAAACCAAGTTTATGAAATAGGGTAGTTCAGATTTGGCTCAAGAACAGCAAAATGAACTCCGAAACGATTAAATAATTATAAAAAACAAGTTTATAAAAAAGGGTACTTCAGATTTTGCTCAAGAACTGCAAAATGAACCCTGAAATAATAAAACAATTATTAAAAAAACCAAGTTCAAAAAGGGGTCCTTCAGATTTTGCTCAAGAACAACCAGAGTGAACTTAAATAGCTATAAAAATAACCAACAAAAGAAAAGAACCAACCTTTCAGTTTCTTCTATAAACTCTCTTCCGAGTCGTCTTCTTCACCCGACAAGCAAAGAAGTCATCTTTCTAGTTTCCAACCAAAGTTGAATCTTGAAACATATCTGAAACGAGTTTCTTAATCTGGGAACTAATAAAAAACCAAACCGAGAAATTTAAAATAAAAGAACTGTTTTTTAATTCAGTTTTTGGGGTCTACGTATTCCGGGTGGTTGATGATGGTTGGCCATGGAGGTGAAAAATGAGGAGACTTTCACGTATTCCAGGTTTTTTTTATTTTGTTAATTAATTTTGAGTAGACCGGACACCCCGTATATCAAGGGGCTGTCCGAAAACAGATCGAGGAACTCGTTTCGCCTTTTCACGTTGAAATTCAAAATCGTTTTCGAAATACCACCGCTGTCCCCGATCTTGTACGTCCCGCTACGAAATGTTGTCTGTTTTGACGGTTATACCCTTTCTTTTTTGAAGATCTTATGGATAGAGATCACAAATACACGTGTCCAAACTTGCAATTCACTACTCCTTGTCTTTTCTGCCTTTCTTTTTCTTTTTCCAAATCTAGAAAGAAAGACAAAACAAACAAACAAATACTATCATCATTCCCTTTTCTTCTTTGACGGGGTACATATTCAGTATCTAAACTATCAAGTTTAATATGTTTTAGTATCTAAACTTTTAATTTTATCAAAATTATATATAACGTTTAGTTTTCATTTATTTTCATTTTAGTATCCAGCCGTTAAAAACTTAAAGCGTATAGTACTTAAACCATCAACTTTGGTCTATTTTAGTACTTAAACTTTTAATCTTTTCAAAAATTAATGTTAAATTTTAAACGAATACTAAAATAAAACAAAAACTAAAGTCACTATAATACACATTATATTTTGGGCGTGGGAGAAAACCTATAAGATAACATACTATTAAAATTATTTGCTACGATAGAGTCATTGCTAAAGTAAGGGAGGAGTCGCATTACACTCTATGCGTCAGGGTCGGAATATATCTTTGTTGGAGACGCGTTGCACTCAAGCATCCCATTGTAATTAAATTTATATATTTTGTATTGTTGGTGCTTGGCCATGAATATGATTTTCCTCACTTTTTATTAGTTTGATGCATGGTCGTGAATACGATGCATGGAGACGCACTGACTGCAATGCGACTTAGCTAGGTCACTCGTTTCTGATGATTTTTAAAAGACACATTATTTTTCCGACATCTTTCAATGGGTACTATAGCATTCACATTATACCAAAAAATAATTTCAGTGAGACCCTATTTAAGCCAATATTATTTTCACAACACCATTTAACCAATAACATCATTTGTGTAAATAATATTTTTCATATTTTCATATTTCACATGTAACGGTGTGATTGTTGACCAAACACATATATGTTCATTATCTTTTACAAGTCATTTATCATTATATGATTAGATGAGTTCCTTGAGACGCATCGATGTATGAACCCGTCCAATTAAGACATATTGTTGTTGATCATGTTAGATATAAAGTCGGTCAAAATGACAAAAAATAGTTATGATAATGATCCTGTTAAAGAATAATTAATACGAAAAAAAAATCACACACAATCAACGACCATTGCACTATTAAACTCATTCACAAAGAAGTCGTTAGTGATATATATATATATTTTATTGTTTATCATATTGTACTTTTTTATTATAATATTGTATCTTAATTTTATTTGATTTTATAACAAGTTGAATTAAGTTTACAATTGTTATTACTTCTATAAATCAAAAATAGTTTTCTTTAAAGTTGTAATAAATTATTTTTTGTATTTTATAATACAATCCCTTAAAATATATATTTTATGAGTCGCGACTTTCATATGAATTAAAATATCTTTTAAAATCTGTTAATTAGATTGTCATATAGAATAAAATAGACCTTCTAATAGACACATATAATC